AGAGCAAAAATAATGTCAATGGGTGCCCTTTTTCCCCATCTATGCCAAATTTAGAGTTATCCAGAAGTGGACGAAGAAAGTGTAACAAAAGTTATATAACAACCTAAATTTAGATCTGGGATACTGTGGAACCATCAAAGAACATTTTTGTACGACTTTCTGCTGCTGAAATGCTGTATCCATCACATCGTCACCCCATCGTATCCGATATTGTATGCTTTAACTCGCCTTTGACCGGAATTGCGCGTTGGGAGTCGAGTAATGGTCGCATTGAATGGCTTGATGTCGAACGAGGCATAGCTAAATTGGCACATCCGGGACCCACTCATGTCACTGTAAAAGGCGCTGAGCAAAAATTGACAAACTCGGTGAGTTTTTGGTCATCATTTATGCGCGAGAATATTTCGTGGTTTCAGCTGTCCATTGCACCTGCACAAAGCCTAAGTTTTGCTAAGGATCTTCCAAATGTGGTTTCGAACGCGGAAGGATCTTCTTACCTGTTCCCGGTAATTATCGGTAGCAACGAAACCTCGTCGTCTCACGAAGCTGCTGCAGGTAGGTAAAATCTATCATTTCTATCAGAAAACGAATGTCTTTTATTTTCCCTATTCCTTTTACCCCTAGGCTGCACAGAAGAGCAGCTCTCAGCGCTTTCTACCATTCGTGCGCCCTTCGACTGCACAACCGCCTTCACTTGTAATAAAATGGGTCCAGCTGTAAATATTCTATCTGCGAAAGCGGTTTTCGTTCCCAAAATTGGTATGAGCTTGAGTTTTTCAATTGAGACTGTGCAGTAAGCAAATTTCTGCAGGATCCTATGCGTGCGTGGTCGAACGACAAGAAGCGGGTCAAGTTCATATGGATATCGCTGGAGCTAACCAAGTGGATCTCAATATAATTGCGAAATGGACAGGAGATACGCAAATCAAAAATGCTGTTGCGAGCACAGTATTCCATATGGCTATGAGAGTTCTGGAGTCGGAGGTGGGTATTTCTCAAAGTTTTTTTTTTACTCCTGCATCCTTTATCGTCAGAGGAGTTATTTTGTTGTAGCAGTTTTGTTTACTGTTTACTGCTTATTCATGAATAAGCTTTTTTCAGATCCAGTTATCGGATATGGATAAAAAATCGGCCGTCTTGTCCATACAAGTGCCATCATATCAACACCGCAGTGTGAGTTTTTCTCTTATGTAGATAGAAAAAATTACTCTGTATTTTGTCTTCACATTTTCTGTTTTTTTTTTTTTTGCGAAAGTGCTCCGACTTCAATTTAGGTGAATGCAAATGGATGTCCTGGTGATATCGTCACCGTGGCGGAGACCCGCCATCCATCTGGAGCTAATAATGGAGCAAACAAGTTTTTCTTGATCAAGGCTAGTGGTTTATGTTGTTGCAAATGGCAATAGGTGCGAAATAGAGAGCTCGCAAAACATTCGATCAGGATGAGATTCGAACTCACGCG